CGGGAATTAGTTCAGCCTTTGCCTTCCCCTGTTCCCGTCCGCAGAGATACACGCACGGCGGTCTGTGTACTGGTCGCTGGGGAAGACATCTATACTATATCGTGTGAAACACTCGTCTGAAAATCCGCCACTATCATCCGTGGTAACCGAGGGGATCAGGTGCTGCGCGGAGCACCGCTCATTAACATTTTGCACAATCCGTTTTTGTTTCCCCTTGCAACAACCTGCCTCTTTTTATTTTTTTAAATGACTTTCGCTGGGCAAGACCTGGAAAGCAGAGCGTCTTAAACACTTCTCCATCCCGCCCGCAACAACAACAAAAGAAACAAAGCCCCCAGAAAGCTGTGAGAGGAAGGAAGGAATGAAGGGGAAGGGAGACGGGCGGCTTCGTGGCGACTTACATGATAGTCCTTGAGCCAGGAGTCCAGCTTGTCCTGCAGGGCGCTGAAGGAGGAGGTGCTCACCAGCCTGCGCAGCGTGTCGGCCATCGCTGCTGCTGCTCCAGCCCCGGTCTGCCCCAGCAGCTCAATGGCAGGGCAGCGGGGCTCCCGGCATTTATACGCGGGGGTGTGCAGCAGCAGCACAGCCCCTGACGTCTGCCGATGCTACCACGGACGCCAAGCGCCGCTTCAGTTGTAGCAACGCCATTTCCCAGGATGGAGGAGGAGGAGGGGATCTGCAGGTGGGCGCACGGTGCTGCTCGCTCGCTGGTCGAGGCGACCCGGCGGTGCTTTTATGATAAACACACGCTGTCTGCACGCCTGCCCGCGTTGGTTACACGCACCTCCGTGATGCAAACAAGCCGTGTGCGCGGCGCCCACTGTTGCGTCTAACTACACACCTCCTGTACTGTACACACGGTCAGGTGCCTAAACGCTGAGATTTATTTCCCCCTTTTTTCCCCAAAAAAATAAAAAATGACACCACGCTGTCAGACCAACTACTGGGTATTGGTTCGCCTCGGTAGTTTAAGACTACTCTGCCGTTACGCACAGAGTCATCGCATTATGCAGCGCAACATTAATAGTACGCAACATTACGTGTGGACCGGGCGTGAAGGAACCACGATTATTTCATGATTCCAAAACACAGTCACTGTATTCTTTATGTATAACGGATCGATAATTATAAGAACGACCTACACCAATGCTTTTTATTTATTTATTTTAGAAAAAGCTATACACACGATATGGAAAACGCTGATCGTTAAGTAACTGGCGATGCTACACAGCAAATGTTGAGCGCAGGGTAATAACACCGTCAACAGATAGTCAGGATAATAATAGTGCCGATAATATGAGGCGCTTAAGGAAGCCGGAGCTCTAGTGGGGGCAGTAACTGAAAACAGACGACCCGGAGCTGAACACCAGCCGGGCACAATTCCTATTTGGGATTGTCTTTTTTTAGGGAACACGGCATTCCCGAAACCTCCCTTTTCCTATTGGCTAGGCGGCTCCCGGACTCTACCATTCCGGGATCCGCAGTCCGTGTCCGGAGCCGGTTTAAACTCGGGCTATGGGTGTTCCCGAATATTTCACGCGTGCCACGGATCCCTGACCAGCCCGCGGGCGTGGGCGTGGGCCGTGCCGTGGGCTGTCCCGCACGGCGGCCCGGGCAGGGCGCGGGTGGTCTGGCCCGGGTCGGTCCCAGCTGTCACTCCGCAGAGCGGCGGAGACCAGGCGGCGTCATGGCGTCCGAGCAGGTCGGTTGTGGGACGGGAGAAGTGTTTTTTTTTCCCCTACTCGTGTGCGTGTGTGAGAGCCTTGTCCGAGCGTTGTCCGCTGCTGTGGATAAAAGTCATTATATTTTCTGAAGCTGCTGTATCGGTGCGGCCTCCTCCCGTGTTCGTGTTGTGTGCGTCGTCTTTAGCCATCCCCCTTTCCAGATCTTTGGCTGTGTGTGTGTGTCTGTGTGTGTTAGGTTTTTTTTTGGTAACGAGACCGTGGAAAATGTGACTCAAGCGCCGCTGCCTGTTTCGTGCAGCCTCAGCTGCGCGCTGCCTGACACCCGCCGCCGTGCGGGGCGGGAGTGCGTGATTCCCGATTACACCGTGTGGGCGTGAACCCCGAGTGGCGCAGCTGGGGTAACAGCAGCGTGAGAGCTTGCGTTATTTACTCGTGTGAGGGGACCCCCACACCCCCACTGTCCTGTGGTTTGCGAACACGCTCTCTGGCTTCGGCCCGCAGCCCGGGTGACGCTCTCTTGTCCTGTCCCTCCCACGCCCACGCCCAGCCCAGCTCCAACGGGCCGGTGAAGAGGTCCATGCGGGAGAAGGCCATCGAGCGCAGGACCAGCAACAAGGAGCACAACAGCAACTTCCGGGCGGGGTACGTGCCCATCGAGGAGGAGCGCTTGCACAAGACGGGCCTGCGGGGCCGCAAGGGCAGCCTGGCCATCTGCGTCATCGTCCTGCTCTTCCTGCTGGCCCTCGTCAACCTCATCGTACGTAGCGCGTGGCCGGGGGTCACCGCGGCGCCTGACGGGGAGGTGGAATCGGGGGGG